TGGCACCATCCTCCTACCAAGTTAGTTTAAAGTAAACACTTACCAACAGCATGAGCAACCTGCCTCAAAGAGCATTGGTCACAGCCCTGTTGAGTAATGTTTAATTGGAGAATACTATTTTATTACCGAGTATAAGATTTAACTGGTTATAATTAACTTTAATCTCCTAGGTAGGTTGTTGCTCATACAGGAATCGTTTTTCATAGGACTTTGTGCACAGTAAGGTATAAACGCTGACTAAGGTCGTATTTTATTTCCAAGCTCAAAAGAAGGGATTTGTGTGATCGGTGGTAATAAAACTTGTCGATGTAATGGCTTTAGTCAATTTTTTGCTGGATCATTTCACATCTCACATGATTTAAAACAGCTGTTCGCATTTGTGATCTCAGAAAATAAATGAGATTTAATAGGAGCTGTTATACAGGAATTTATTATTGTAGAGGAAGGAAAGGATTATACTTCACTGTTTTGTATCAATGAGAAAAACGACAGATTTCATAATAACTGAGATCGTAAAACATTACTCTCAGCGTGACCAAGCACGACATTGGCTTACACTCCAATATTGAGAATTGTTCTTTTGATAAGTAGTCTACGCAGATAGCTGGAAGATGAATGCAGTACTGAATACAAAGTTCTCGAATCTTGTCCAACACAACATGTCTTAGAGTCATGGAGTCATACAGCTTAGAAACAGACCCTTTGGTTCACCCTGTCTAAGCTGACCAACAGACACCAAACAACAATAATCCTATCTACCTGCACTTCGTCCATAGCATACATTTTAAGTACTCATCCAGATGCTTTTTAAATGTTGCAAGAGTATCTGTTGCCATTACCGTCCTCTTAGGCAGCATGTTCCATATATCTACCAGCCTCTGGGTGAAAAAAGATCTCTCATATCTCTCATATCTCTTCTAAACCGCATGCTCCTCACCTAAAGGAAGGGACTGTACCACTGTGACACAAGTGTTCCCCCAAGGTATTTGTGTTATCCCAGAGATTTTGTTTTAAAATCACAATTTAAACCACTTGCCTTCAGTTTAGTTGACTTCAGAGGCAGACCTTAGCTACAGCCAATTACGGTTTCATTCAATGAAGAATAAAACGTGTAGAGACGAAGGAAGAGAGGGAAAAAAAACTAAATGTTTCCTGTTTTTGTTTTGTAGATTACTTCAGTTTAATTTAAACTGTTCAATTCACCTTTCAAGGATGTTCTTCAGCACTTGAATAGAGATCCTTTCATTGATAAAGAAAACACCGTGTTCAAGTTCCTTGGTGAATTTTTTGCCACTTTTATTTGTTAATGCTTGCTGTTGAAATCATGGCCCTGTGGGGCAGGATTGGGAAGAAGAAAACATCAGTCTGACCTATCCATATCAATTCATATGGATGTTGCCATCTGACCAGTCCATCTATAACCTTCCTGTAACCCACAACCATCTTCTTCGCTATTAACCACTCTACCAATCTTGGTGCTATCTACAAATTTGCTTAACATTGCCCCCATATTTGCAGTCATGGAGTATGAAGAAATGACACACACATTCATAACCGAAGAAACAAGTTGGTAACCCAGGAGCCAGTGTGTCTTTGAAGTAGCTGACCAAACTACTCTTCCCCTGGAGAAGAATCCTGCTCCCCAGCTGGTGTAAATAACCTGTTTGATGTCTTTGTTTATACCTTTCCTGACCTTGGCTGATGAGATATAAGGATTTTAATTGGATTATCTGATTAGGTTACCCCCATGCAGTCATACCTAGCTCTCAGCATGAGTTGTCCCCTGGGATATTCCAACAATGGGAATGATTTCTGTATCCCAGCAAAGTGGAAAGAAATCATTCACATGTACCCAAACAGCTTGAATTGGGCTAGACCAGCTGCTAAAGATGAGTCTGAGGTGAATCCCCACCTCAGGGACAGGTGTTGACATAAGTCTTATCTGTGTTTTATATGTGTGCGCGTGCACCTTAGTTAAAACGGCCCTTGTTGCCCCAGACAGTAATATCTTCAATCAAAATCCTTCCTTTGTAGCTCTATGTTCCACTACCACTAGACAGACTTTCACCACTAGAACTTCCTCATAGAGTTTACATTTGACAGTTTGATTTTCAAAAACAATTGATACTGTAATCATAGTTTGAGTAATTACATACATAACTACATAGAGAATATGTGTACCCACATCTCTTAAAGTTTACTCTACCTTACTGGAGAACCATAGCAAGACCAAGGTCCATTTGCAAACCAATCAGCCCTCTCCTCTCATGGATGCACATATGCTGGTTCTCTTCTTGAAATGTTATTCTTCTGAATCGTCCTGATAAGTGCAAGATGAAAAGTTTTGATGAAATGTGTCTTTTCTGGCAGCGCTTCCCATAATTTCTCTTGCCTTAGCCTTTAGGTTAAGCATTCCCTAATTCCTTATTTTGCATACATGTAGTAACTCTTACAATCTGGTGCCAGTTTTCTCTCATTTTATTTTCTTTGTCTTGATCGATTTTTTTGGTCATCCTTTCTTGATTTTTTTTTTAAATACTCCATATCATTTGACTTCCTACTTGGCAAAATTATAAACTTCTTATTTTCAATCTGAAGCGAGACTATTGCATTTAAATAAAAGAAATTGGCTGAGGGAGATTGGGAAAATGCATCAAAAGGCTTGGCTGTATAAAGGCAATAGGTAGTTCTTCAAGACCCATTTTATGACATGCAGCAACTACACAATTCTTAATGGTGCAAAAACTCGAAAAAGTCTGTCAACTGTGGCTAATAAAGGAAGTTCAGAATTGTATAAGAGTATAAAACAAGGGCTATAAAGTTGCTAGAAATAGCAGTAAATCTGAAGATTGGGAATATTTTAGAACATAGCAAAGGAGGACAAACAAACTGATAAGGAAAAGGAGAATAGAATATGAATGCAATCTACCAACTGTGAAAGCTGCTATAGGTATGTAAAAAGGAAATGTTTGGTCAAAATGAATGCAGGCCCATTACATGCAGTGTGAGGGGAATGCATAATTGATAATAGAAAAATAGTAGAAGGGCTAAATGACTACTTTTAGAATATGATGTGGAGGTGCTGGTGTTGGACTGGGGTAGACAAAGTCAGAAGTCACACAACACCGTAAACCTATTGGGCTAGAATCATAGAATCCTTACAGTGTGAGAGCAGGCCATTCAGCCCATCAAGTCCACTCCGACCCCCCTCAAAGAGCATCCCACCCAGACCCACCCCTTGCCCTATCCCTGCATTTTCCACCCTATGGACAATTTAGCATAGCCAGTCCACCTAACTTGAACATCTTTGGACTGTGGGAGGAAACCGGAGCACCCAGAGGAAATCCATGCAAACACGCAGAGAATGTGCAAACTCCACACAGACAGTCACACGAGGATGGAATCAAACCCAGGTCCCTGGCAGTGCTAACCACTGAACCACTGTGCCGCCCTAGACTATAATCTGGTGTCGTGTGACTTCTGACTTTGCCTACTTTCAGAATAGAATAGCCTTTATCGTCACGTACACTCAAATGAGTGCAGTGCAAAGTTTGTAATGTCACCTCTCGGCACCATCTCAGGTACAGAGTACCTAGGTACAATACTTTTAAGTGTTGTTACAGAATTCATAGAAAAAGGTTAGCATGGGAACAGAGTTTTAAAAGTCCAAAATGATAATACAAGTGACTGTAAGTACTTAAATTCCAGTGCCTCTCCAACATGAATCCATGCCTGCTGACCCCAGAACATCCAAAATTGTGCAGGTTAGGTGGATTGGCCATGCTAAATTGCCCATAGTGTACAGGGATGTGTAGATTAGGTGGGTTACGAAGGCTGGGTCTGGGTGGGATGCTCTGTGGGATGGTATGGACTTGTTGGGCTGAAGGGCCTGTTTCCACACTGTAGGGATTCTGTGATCTATGAGGCCATGCTGCCTGTACATGCAGGCCTCCTTCCGGAACTCGCTCAGCCGCTGCTCCAGGACTCAGTCTGCTTGCTCCGTCACCACTGTGGGACTCAGCCCACAAATTGGCCTGCTTGCTCTACCACGGGATACAGCCTTTCTTCACTCCATGGCAGCCATGAAACTCAGCCCATTCTCACTCGGCTAGAGGAGCTCTGACTAGAGCATCCTGCTGTGTCGCCATTTTGCAATCAGTAGTTGCTTTGTATCTGTTTCACTGTGGAAGATACAAAAATCTCCCAGAACTAGAGATCCGATTATTAAGTGAGTGTAAGGAATTAAAGGAAAAATGCTATCACTGAGAAGATTGTACTGGAAAAATTAATAGGGCTGAAAGTTGATAAATCCACATGACCTGATAACCTTCATCCCAGAGTATTGAGGAGATTGTTTAGAGATTGTCAATGCATTGGTAATGATCTTCCAAAACTCCATAGATTTTGAAAACGGCCCACAAATTGAAAAGTAGCAAATGTTACCCCACTACATAAGAAGAGTGAGAGAGTAAACGGACAATTACAGACCTATTAGCATTACCTCACCGGCAACATTCCCCCTAAGCTGCACTGATCACCAGTATCAACACAGCATGGACCTGGAGGAACACAGCAGGTCAGGCAGCATCAGGTGAGTAGGAAAGTCGACGTTTCAGGTCGGGACCTTTGTTAGAAATAAGGACAGGGAAGGGAGCTGGGAAATAAATAGAAGGAGGAGGGATGGGACTGGGGAAGGTAGGTGGGATGGTGATGGGTGAGTGCAGGTAGGGAGTGGTGGGGATTGGTCATTGAGGTGGGAGGGGCAGATAGGTGGGAGAGAAGATAGGTTGTGTTAGGTCGAGGAAGCAGGGATGAGAGGGAGATTTGGATGTGGGATGAGGCGAGGGGGTAGGTGGATTTTAAAACTGGTGAATTCCATGTTTAGGCCATCGGGCTGTAGGTTCCCGAGGCGGAACGTGAGATGCTGCTCCTCCAGTTTGCGTGAGGCATCATAGTAGTACTGGAAGTGGCCCAAGATGGATATGTCATCAAAGGAGTAGGAGGGAGGGTTAAAATGGTTAGCGACTGGAAGGTGTTGTCAATTATCGCGTATAGAGCACAGATGCTCCATGAAATGGTCCCGGAGTCTCTGCTTGGTTTCACCGATGTAGAGGAGGCCACATCGGGAGCACCGGATATCCCCACCACCCCCTATCTGCATCCACCTATCACCATCCCACCTACCTTCCCCCAGCCCCACCACCCCTCCCTCTCTTTATTTCCCAGCTCCCTTCCCCTTCACCAGATCTGAAGAAAGGTCCCAAACCAAAACGTCGACTTTCCTGTTCCTCTGATGCTGCCTGACCTAGTGCATTCCTCCAGCTCCACACTGTGTTGACTCTGACTCCAGCATCCGCAGTTCTTACTATCTCCTGATCACTGGTATACTTATTTTTTTCAGAAAGCTTTTAATCAAATCCCCTAAAGGAGGCTGGTTAGAAAAAAATACAGCCCATATGTGATAAGAGGTAATGTAGTGGCATCAATTAATATTTGAGTAACATACAGGGAACAGAAAGTAGAAATAAATGGGTCTGCCTCAGGTTGGCAAACTGTGACTAGAGGGGTAACAGGAGGTTTCAACGCTAGGACCCCACCTGTGCACAACGTTTATCAAAGATTTGGAGGTGGGTTTCCAAATGTAATATTTTCCAAATATGCAGATGTTACAAAGATGTGTAGGATGTGTGCTCTGAAGAAGATTTGGACAGGTTTACGGAATAGGTGAGAACATGGCATATGGAATACAATGTGGAAGAACATGAGGTAATCCACTTTGCTGAAGGAAATGCAGAATATTTCTTAAATGACAAGAGTTTGAATAGTGTAGATGTATAAAGAGACCTAGGAGTCTTCATCAGTAAGTCAATGAAAGCTAGGTGCAACAAGCTATTACAAAGACTGGAATGTTTGTCTTTATTGCAAGAGGATTTGTGTACAGCGGTAATGAAATCTTGCTTCACTTGTATAGGAGCTTGGATTGCACTTGGAGTACTGTGTACTTTGGTCTCCTTATCTCAGGTAAGATATTATTGCCACAGCGGAAGTGGAACAGAGGTTCACTGGACTTACATCCAGGATCGGGGTATTGTCCTATAGAGAGAGATTGGGAAAATTGGATCTGTATTCTCTAGAATTTTGAAGAATGAGAGGGGATTTCATTGAAATCTACAAAACACTTGAAGGGATGGATTCAGTAGATACAGGTAAGATGTTTCTCCTAGTTGTAGAATCTAGAACAAGGCAGCAAATTTAAAAATAACAAGGAAGTCACTTGAGTCCCAGAACAGAATAAAATCTTTTACTCAGAGTTGTGAATCTTTGGAATTCTCAACCATAGAAGGCTGTGAAAGCTCAGTCTTTGAGTATGTTTAAGGTAGAAGTTGACCTTTCTGATTTCCAGTGGCACAGTGGGTTATAGCTCTTACGCTAAATAAAAACCAAAAGAACTGCGGATGCTGATGTCACCGCAACCAAAATGTTAACTCGGATTTCTCTTCACAGATGCTGCCGGACCTGCTGAGCTTTTGCAGCAGCTTCTGTTTTTATAGCTGTTATGCTTGTTCATCTCACTATCATTCAATGCGCGGTTTATCCCACTGCAATATTTTCAGAGTGCACTTTTGGCAAATAGCCACACAAAACATTTAAAAACCTAAACTCCTAAGGTAAAATCTAACCAATGACAAAAGTTGCTAGGTACATTGCCACAGTAAATATTTTGGCCAGTGCATCTTTAAGTGTGTCCTGTGTTCAAGACCTTAATTCCTGGTGGTCTGTTTCACCACACTAGTTATTGTTTTCTCTTTATTGATTTCTATCTTTGTCACTGTACTGCATCCCCATCACCTCCCCCACCACCATCCACACCTGAAACTGTTTGATTCCCTGCTCAAACAACATATAGAGCCATTATTCATCTTGCAGTTGGAAGGACAGAGAAATTAATGTAGATCCTCGTATATTTCACTGCAGAATGCTGTTTTAAACAAGCACAACCTTGATGACAAATGTCTATTCTATACAGAATGGTAGAATGCTGCAAATCAAATTGAAGCATGTCAGTTAAATGATTCACTAATGATGCTATAGTAAGAATGATTTCTGGCATTCTTGTCTAACCTTGCAAAAGATCAGTCTTCCAAGTTTTACATGTGAATGATGCCCTTTATTAAGAAATGTCCAGTTCATCTTGAATGTTTAATGAAGTGAACAAACACACTGGCTATGTTGTTTTCACAAAGGATACATTCATTCAAAATGTCAAATATAATTTCATCAATTAGCATGCTGACCACAGCATATTATCAAATGGATGCAAAACATTTTATATTTCTGGTTTCCTGATTAATACTTTTATTTGAGTACAAGATTTTGATGCTCTTTTGGTTCAGTTCAACATTGTAGATCCTTCTGTGATGAAATGCTGCAAGTCTTGTATGTATTTACTGATTTCCCTTTCTTGTTCTCTCTACCTTTACCTCCCTTACTACAGTTCTGTAAGTAATGTAGCATCTATTAGGTTTGTCCTATTTGAAATGGGAATGAGAACTAGACCTAGGCTTTATGGAATCTTAATAATGAATTTGTGGGTGGTGCATGAATTCACTCAGCCTGAGATTTTGCCCTCGCCCTCCACTTGACTAGAAGGATAATCTATTGAATCTAGTTTAATTTTAACTAAATATTTTAAGATTACAATGGCATAAGTATTTGTTTAACTATAAGAAAAATCTCAAAAATAGTTTTGAAAGATTGTTTTTAATCAGTCTTTAGCGTAACTAAGCTTTTTTGAATTTAATATGAACAAGGACGGAACTTATTTTTGTTACTAAATTAGATTTAAATTATTCATACAAATTCCCTATTTTTTCAATGAACTTGCCATAGATTTTTTTTTAAATGTTGCTGTGTGACATTGAACAGCTTACTGAATTATGCTGTTTGAAGTAAAAAAACTGAAATGGTTTGCCAACACTAAGTAAAATATTTGCATTGAAAGTAATTGATTAACACAAATACATGAATAAGCAATGATTTGTGCCTCAAAACTTAAGTTATTCAGAGTATTCTGAAATCAAGGGTTTGTAGTCTATAAATTCTGTTTTGCTTGCTTCTTTTCCCAAAATAATGGCTGGACTTAATTTATGTTCTCTGGTGAAGGAAGTAGGGAAAGAAACGTACCTATCGTTATTAAGAAGCACAGCAAATCAGTATCGTGTGCAGTAACAGCAAAATGAAAGCTAAAGTTTTGTCAACCTCTTTTTGTAAGAACATTTCAACTGTTTTGAAAACTGATGTCCTTTGATCACATTCTCATTTGAAATTCCTGTTCTTCCAACATTTTTCTTTTGTCTGAAGTCCTATCTTCCCTGCCAGTGATCTCTTCTCAGGCTCTTCACAGCAGCAATTTGTGTTTGTATAGTTGTGTTAACATAATTCTTTCTGTATTTCCCACTTTGGCACCTACCCCCAAGAAACCCTTTTGATCGTGGTGTCTGTCTTCCACTATCATGATCTGGATTTTTCCTCATTGTCTTGCATGTAGTGTCTGCGAACTTTTATTCCTTTAATCCTGTCATCTGTCCTCTCCTCTTTGCTTTCCATGGTGCTGCTTGGCTTTTCCATATATACTTTGTCTTTGATGCCTGTGCTCTGGCTGGCTCTTGTAATTGAATCCCTAGGTTACCTACTTGCTTTTACAATTTTGAAAAAGAAAACAACATTATGATCACTGCAGGCTGTTGTGAATATCTAGTTCATGGTGCGTATGTTTTAGAATATAACTTTTACTTTGTAAGTTAACTCTACAATTTATAAATGCAGTTCACCAAAGCTTGGAGTTTATTACACTGCAAAAAGTGAGGCTATGTTGACTTAGGGGAGGTGATGGTATAGTGGTATTATTGCTGGACCGTTAATCAAGAGACTGAGACAACTTTCTGGGCACCCAGGTTCAAATCCCGCCATGGCAGATGGTGGAATTTTAATTCAATAAAATAGTTGGAATTAAGAGTCAAATGATGACCCTGAAGCCATTGCTGATTGTCAGAAAAACCCATCTGGTTCACCAATGTCCTTTAGGGAAGGAAACTGCCATCCTTACCTGGTCTGGCCTACATGTGACTCTTAACTGCCCTCTGGGCAATTAGGGATGGGCAATAAATGCTGCCTAACTAGCAACGCCCTCATCCCGTGAATGAATAAAGAATAAAGATTCATAAGGTAAGATAATATGATAGATGGGTTTACTTGAAGAACTGGAGACATTCCAATTATTTCAGTAAAGCGTAAGTTAATTAATGTGATTCCCAAAATTAAGGTAAATTTTGGAATTAAAAGGTAGCTAATCTGCATTTCTCCCTGACAACAAGCTGTATGTATCACATTGCCATGGAGATAGTGGAGCTTTGTGAGATTTTTTGTTTTAAGTTATCTCTGTGAATTTAGTTAGAACATAGACAACCGGCAGGATTGGTTAATGTTTGGAAAGAGATTGTGTTAGCTTTAGGACTCTTGTTGCTTGTAGCATCTTGAAAGTCAAGAGATAAAACCAAATTTGCAGCTGAAATAGAGAAAATGCTAAATCTGTTGCCTTTGATGCAGCTTGGGAGCTGGTATTCTGTATAAGACATAGTTATCAAAGAGAAAAACAACTGGAAGATTTGTTTAGCTGGAAGCTTCATGAAGAATTCCTCAGTGAAAGGCAGTAGTGAAAATCAGTGAAGCTTATTGTAGTTGGAGTTCTGGAAATAGTCAGCTTTATTGCAAGTTGAAGCTGTGTTGTTGTCTGAGGGGTTACCTTATAAAGGCTTATAAAATCATGAGGGACATGGATAGGGTAAATAAGCAAGGTTTTGGTGAGTGAGTGGGGGTTGGTGAGTCCAAAATAGACAGCATAGGTTTAAGGTGAGAGGGGAAAGGGATAAAAGGAACCTAAGGGCCAACTTTTTCACACAGAGGGTA